AATTCCCTAGCCAGCCATAGTGGCTGGGGAATTCTGGGAGTTGAAGTCCACACATCTTCAAGTTGCCGTGGTTGAGAAACACTGCTCTGAAGTGTTTCTAACCACCACCCTCCCCTTCCCCACATATACCAGGTGAAGCAGCTCCGCTTGGAGCGGGAGCGGGAAAAGGCCATGAGAGAGCAAGAGCTGGAGATGTTGCAACGGGAGAAAGAGGCGGAGCATTTCAAGACATGGGAGGAGCAAGAGGATAACTTCCACCTTCAGCAAGCCAAGCTACGGTAAACAGAGACAATAGATGGAACCTAGAGTCTTCAGGGGAGGGAGAAATTAACTCCCCAAATATGTTAAAAGAATAATAAGACCACTTCTTAAACTTACTAGTCCACAGTTCTCTTCCAATATGATCAGATGAAGAGCAGGAAAGAATTCATAGCTTTGTGGTGAACCATCTGGTTTGGGAGCAGAATTTCCTGAGTCGTTCTCCAATTGCTAGGACTTTTAGGAATGGCCAAGAAGAGGCCACAGTACTGGATTAGATGGATCAGGAGTTTGACTTGGGCTTTCCATCATATTTTCCATCATATTTCCATCAAATCCAGAGCCAGTTTGAGAGCCAGTTGGGTCTAGTGGTGAAGGCACCAGGCTAGAAAGCAGGAGATGGTGAGTTCTAGTCCTGCCTTAGGCATGAACGCCAGCTGGGTGACTTTGGGCCAGTCACTCTCTCTCAACCCAACTCACTTCACAGGGTGGTTGTTGTGGGAGAAATAGGAGGAGGAAGGAGTATTTAGTATGTTTGCTGCCTTGAGTTATTTATAAAAATAATAAAGGCGGGATAAAAAAATCTAAAAGAAAAATCCAGCTTTTCATCGTACTTATGAGCCGCATAGAAACCCTTTGAAAGAACAGCTGACTAATCTTACTGAGAGCAGTATTTAGTATGTTTGCTGCCTTGAGTTATTTATAAAAATAATAAAGGCGGGATAAAAAAATCTAAAAGAAAAATCCAGCTTTTCATCGTACTTATGAGCCGCATAGAAACCCTTTGAAAGAACAGCTGACTAATCTTACTGAGGTATTAGGTATTACATTATATACATGATATTAAATATATTATGCAATAATATGTAATCTATTAGATAATATTAAGTATTAGGTGTTCAGATACTTAGGCTCTTAGATCTCAGCATCCAAGGTTGTCACATCCACTGACGTTGCACAAATTGGAAGCACTTAAGCGGCTTTTGCCAGCTTATGGTGATGTCTCTGGAAGAAGAAAAATACCAGCCTGAAAATGAAGGTTTACGTATTCTATGCTACCGTTAGACCAGTTTTGCTCTGTGCAGCAGAATCATGGACATTGTTTGCTTAGGATCAAGAGGAACTGGAGGTGTTTCAGGACAATCCTGGGCGTCTGCCTAAGTGATTGATGATGGAATAAGGATATTTGATAGGCAGATAGGCAGTCAACAGCCCCAGTTGAGACTAAGATCTAGCAATCATGCCTTTGTTGGTTTGGACATGTCTGCAGAATGGATATAGCATGCTTGTCTGGATGACTGTGGAAGGTGATGTCCACTAGTTGGAAAGTTTTTTAAAAATGCCCCCCTCCCCTCAAGACCCGAACCAGCCAGGTAGAGACTGAAACACAGGGTTATGCTCTAGTGTCACAAAACTTGCCACTTCTGCTCAGGGCAGAGAACTCTACAAGGGGTATCTGCATGGCTGCCACACAGCTCCAGTGGTGATACCTTACAATTTGCAGTCTGTCCTGCCAGCACTGGAGAACACAAAATGATGAATGAATCTCACTGTGCCTGCAGCTATAACTGGCACTCCTTCCTGTTTTTCCACTTGATACCAGGAATGATATTCAGAATTAACACAGAAAGTTGCCTTCACCTACAAGGGCAATTTGTCCATTGCACCAGGGTTGTCTGCTCTGACCAGCAATGTGTTTCTGGATTGTAGCAAGGAAAGTTCCTGAGATCCTTTCTTTGGAGATGCCTGGGATCTAACCTTGGATACCCACCAGATGTCCTGCTGCTGAGCTATTGAACCCTTCCCAAATCCTTTGTCCTTTGGGAAGGGCTGCACTGACTCTCCTCCATCGCTCTAACCCTTTTCCCTGGATACCCCTTTTCTGGCAGCTCCAAAATCCGGATCCGAGACGGGCGGGCCAAGCCGATTGATCTCTTGGCAAAATACATCAGTGCTGAAGATGACGACTTGGCAGTGGAGATGCACGAACCTTACACTTTTCTAAATGGACTCACTGTCTCTGACATGGAAGATCTACTAGAAGACATCCAGGTATCGAGCCAATGGTGGCTTTCCTCTTTCAAGAGGAAGAGAAGGGTCTTCCTGTCCCAGATCCAAAGTCGGTCTAGCTCAGCCTTCCTCTACTTGGTGACTTTCAAATACATTAAGACTCTAATTCCCAGAATGCCCAGCCATCTGGAGGATACCAGGGTGGAGGTGGCTGGGCTAGTTAACAACTGCAATTTAATAGAACCATATAACTTGTAGTTAAATGGTTTGTTTAGTCCAGATGATTATAAACAATCAAAGGAGAGAATAAATGCAAATTATTCTCAGGAAGCTTGCATACAGGTACAAAAATACAATTTTATGCCTTTAATGCCTAGTATTCCAAGTTTGGCTATCAGTGAACGTGGAGGTTCCATTTACCAAGCACAGGCAACACCACTTCTGGCTTATTTTGCTACAGTACTTTCTAGTTTCTTTTCTTTCCTTCTTCCTTTTTAAAATATATTTTGGTTTCAAATGCCATGTCCCCCCAGTCTCCTTCCCCACAGCAGGCAGGAGAAATAAGTAAGGTTTGAAGCTATGCATATTGTCATTTTGTTATAAAATCCATTCCTCCCTCAGCTCAAACTTCAAGAAGAGATGAGAGTTGGAAAACATGCACTGTAGCTGTTGTGTTCTTTCTTTCTCCCTACCACCTCTTTTCCCTCTTGGTTTCAGGTTTACATGGAGCTGGAGCAAGGGAAGAATGTGGATTTCTGGAGAGACATGACCATCATCACTGAAGATGAAATAGCCAAACTCCGGAAACTGGAGGCTTCTGGGAAAGGACCTGGTAGGGGCAGGAGAACAGAAAATTAGGACTCTGTTCAATTAATTCCAGCCAAAGGTAGTTCCTTACCCACAGCTAGTCTTCATCAAAATAGGGTATTTTCCATTTTCTAAAGATGTTTGATATTCCCCATTTCATAGAGCTTTAGTTTCTCCCCATATTCTCATCAATACCTATTCCCTCCTTCTCTCTCCAGGCCTGGTCTCCTGGGGAATTTTACATTGGCAACTGATTGAACTTCCAGGACTTTTCTGGAAGGATCACACTTGACAGATCTTGTTTCCAACAGAGTTCAGGGTGATCAGAGTCCCCATCATTCCTACATCATACCTCTTTGACAGATCTGTAGTTCGCTTCTGGAAAGCATCATCTTCCTCTTCTCCTTGGTTGGGCAGACCATAATAGGCACTGACAACAATATGGTTTTTATTTGTTCCTCTCCTTGTTTTAACCAGGCACTCTCCACATTATTGCCCAGTTCATTTCCTTGAATATCTGAGCAGATGTGGATATGTCAATGTAGGGGCCATTCCTCCTTTTCTACTACTTCTGTTCCATTTGAACAAACCAACTGGATCCTCCACTCATTGTATTCTGATTGGGTGAATCATCCTACTAGTGTTGAACTTTGGGTCCTAGAATTCCCTGCCATATAGCTGAGGGTTCTGGAAACTGAAGCCCAGTGCTACTAGTGGGCACCGAGCTGAAGAAGACTGCCTTAGAATCTAGGCAATTTCACTATCTTCCGATGGAAAATGTAAGGAAATAAGGCTTGCTAGTTCTTTGAATAGGCTTAGTGCAGGTAAAACAAGCGTCAGATCACCCTAGCTCCAAATATCCTTTCAAAACCTCATTTAAAAATATATATACCCTGTCCCATTGTGTGAGATCAAGACTCACTCTTCCTGGCCACTGGCAATAATCTCCAAGTCCTCTTCTGGCCTACAGATTTAAGGAGTATCTTCCCCTGATCACATGTTCCTCTTTCTGTGTCTTGCAGGAGAGCGCCGCGAAGGGGTGAATGCCTCAGTTAGTTCTGACGTACAGTCTGTCTTCAAGGGGAAGACCTACAACCAGTTGCAAGTGATCTACCAGGGAATTGAGGGCAAGATCCTGGCTGGGGGACCCAACTTGGACATTGGCTACTGGGAGAGCCTGCTCCAGCAGCTCAAGGCATACATGGCACGGGCCAGGTAACTATGCCTGTATCTGATTTATATCCACCTCAGTTCAGGGGGAACTCAGTGCTTTACACTGAGCTCCTTCCATTACCAAAGAGAGCAGCCTTTCCCAAATGACTGGACTGGACCAGATTGGCTAGCAGGCTGGCTGGCTGGCTTTGGTGGAAAAAGGTGACCATGCCTGAGTGTCCTTGGCCGATCTCAGAAAGCTCAGCAGCATCAGACATGGGTAGTGTTCACTGTGGGGACCACCATGAAATTAGATCTGTAAACCTGATAGGAAAACTGAGCAGATGTCCCAAACGAAAGCATTGGAAAACCACATCCATGTTGCTGCCAGGAAAACTACATGGATTTATCCATGTTGTCTTCAAGAAAATAAGCTCAGTTCAAAGGAGACTATTAATCCAGCTGGAAGGTGCAGGTTGGAGACGGATAGATACCTCTTAAGATTAACTAAAGAGGCTGTTTTAGTGGGTTTGATATATTTTTTGAAGCATTCACTGTATTGGAACAGTCACATTTTAGCTAACTGTAGAGTTGATGCCTCTACCAATCAATGAAACAGGAACATCAACTTACAAGTTAAATAAATATATATTTATATAACATCTTACAAGAGCCAACTTGATGCAGTGGCTAAGGGCTCCAGGCTAGAAACAGGGAGGCCATGAATTCTAGTCTTGCTTTAGCCACAAAGCCAACTGGGTGACTTTGGGCCAGTCAGTCTTTCTCAGCCTAGGAAGAAGAAGGCCATGGCAAACCCCTTGTGAACATGTTGCCCAAAAAACTCCATGGGCTTGTCCAAGCAGTTACCAGGAGTCAAGACTGACTTGAAGATGCCATATATACAACATCTCGCCATATCAAGATCTCTGTAGGTGTTCACTTGACAGCTTATCCAGTGGATCAGCTGGGATTGTAAACTTGGGGATGGAGAGGAGAAGAATGATGGAAATTACATTAGAAAGGGGCATATTGCCAAAGAATAGTGAACACCAAAACAAAGTTTTTAAGAGAGCTGTGCTGTCCCAGTACTAAGCCTATCACTTAAGCATCATTGGCATATGGCCTTTATTGGAGAAGTTGGAGTCAGACTGAACAATAGATTTCATGGAAAGAGCACTCAGGTCTGGCTGTCGTTTCCTGCTACAGACTCTCTCTCTCACGCACACACCCCAGCCACAGGATCTGATTGTGATGACGTGATGCATGAGTTGGTTCTCTCTCCCCTGGGCCACAGGCTGCGAGAACGGCATCAGGACGTCCTGCGCCAGAAGCTGTACAAGCTCAAACAAGAACAAGGTGTGGAAAGTGAGCCCCTTTTCCCCATCATCAAAAAAGAGCCTTCATCCCCAGACGCTGCCAGTAGCAGCCACCGGTAGGTGTGGTTGGGATGGGGTTACCTGCTTCCTTCAGCCCTAACACTTAGGATTTTCATTCCAGTGCATAAAGACTTATGTGCTTTTTCTATTTATATGCAACCCTGCAAGGCAAAGCTAACTGCTGCCATGTGACATAAATAGCATTATCATTATCGGAGCAGTACTTCCAGCAGCAGCAAGAAGTCTTGCTCTTTTATATTTTCTCTAGTACAATGTTTCCCAGTCTGGGCTCCCTCTAGATATGTGGACTTCGGCTCCCAGAATTCCCTGTGGCCATTACTAAGAGTTCTGGGAGCTGAAGTCCATACATCTGGAGTTACCCAATTTGAGAAAAGTTGTCCTAGTAAGTGTGTTTTCAGATTATAGATCTATACTTCTATAGATTATAGAGGTAGATTACAGGTAGTCCTCGCTTAATGTCCTTTCATTCAGCAACCAATGTTACGATGGTGCTGAACGAAAGAACTTACAACTGGTCCTCAGAGTTACAACCGTTGCAGCAGTTTTTGTTCAGACGCATTCCAGCTGGGGCCTTCTTTCTCATGTCGGGCTTCTTTCACGAAAGAAGACCCTGGACAGGGTGTGAATGGAGGCCCTGGGCAGGGCACAAGAGAAGAACTGGCTGCACCAGCACAAAAGAAGGCAGTGTGAAAGAAGGTCCCAGATGGTACAGTAGTGGTATGCAGTACAGCGGATGCACCAGGCAGGCCTGGGTGGCAGGGGCAGCTGGTGGCAGCTGGTAGGCAGGTGGCCAAAAGAACAGAGATGGTGGGGAGATAGGCAGGTGGGGGGAGTTCAAGGGGGAGTTCAAGGGGAGGCAGAGGAGGTAGTCCCTTAAGTTACCGAGGTTCAGGGCTGTGAGGAACCAAGCCGGGAATGGCTTGGATCAGGGTGGGTCCTTGCCTAACTACTGGTGGGATTCGGTTAATATTGGCCTGCCAGGATTGCCGTTGCTAAGCAATGCAGCCACGTGACATTGCACTTTATGACCGCATTGCTTAGCAGCGGAAGGACTCCCTGTATTTCTACTTTCCAAATCTTAACTATTCTGTTAAAAAAAAAAACCTTCCTCCATCTTCAAAGTAATCAGAGTTTTTCAAAGTTTGTGTGTGTGTGTTTGGGAGTGAATTTGGGAGCATGAGGTCTACCTTTAATTTGCTTATGTGAATGAACAAGTCAGTTTCAAGAAACAAAGCCTTATTTGGAGCTAAAAGAATATGTTGAATATTTTTCTATTGATTGTAAAGCCGTCACTGGTCATATTTAGAGAGACAAAACTTGTGTCTCAAAAGATTCATTAGGATACCATCAGAATATATGACCCATTATAGGATTAGATAAGCCAAAGTTAAACAGACTTGGTTCTTTGCCTTAAATTGCTCACAGTCTAAAACGGTATTTCCCAACCTTGGCAAATTCAAGGTGAGTGGACTTCAACTCCCAAAATTCTCAGCAATAGCTATGTCGGCTGTGGAATTCTGGGAGTTGAAGTCCATATACCTGGAATTTGCCAAGGTTGGGGAACACTGATCTAAAAAGTGGGGTTGTAAACTGGGAAAGATGAAAAGCAAATGAAGGTTCGAACAAGAAAACAATGGGCGAAGTCAAAAAGCTTTAGAAGAAAGTCCTGGTCCCCAACCCCTGTACTCTCTTTGCTAAAAAGGGGGGCTAACCCTTCCCCTATCTTTTACCCAGTCTAGAGCCAGAGGAAAATGCCCCAACACAGCCTGGTCCCTCTTCCATGGAGTCTGGCACCGAACCAGAAGCTGAAGCCAAAGCTGAGGGAGACGGAGAAGCGGTGCTGATCGAGGAGGACCTTATTCAGCAAAGCCTGGATGACTACGATGCTGGCAAGTACAGCCCCCGGCTGCTCACCTCCCACGAGCTCCCCTTTGATGCCCACGTGGTGGAAGCTGACGAGGATCTCCAGCGCCTGCAACTCTCCCGGCAGCAGCTCCAGGTCACAGGTAAGGCGTGGGAGGAGGGGTGGAGATGTCACCTGGTTTTCATGATGGCAGTTTATATAACATAGTCAGTGTGTACGTGCCGCTGTACCGAGCTACTGGAAGAGGATGGCTTTGTCCAAAAGGAACTTATATTCTGAAATGCAACATGCAATAACCTGGGGAAAGAAGACAGGACAGGAGTAAGTCTCCCATTTCCAAAATGCCCAGCCAGCCCCCCACCCCCATTTGAGACATCCTCTTAATATTAGTTAATAAAACCCTGTCACTTGCCAGGCTGAGCATTCATTTTCCCACTCCATAGTCCGTTTTTTATCTCTCTTATGCAATTCTTCCTCTGGTAGTTTTTTGTAAGGAATTTCCAGCCCTAAACCTGGTTTGACTGACTTTTTTCTGGACTACAAGGAGCAAAAATTAGAGGTGAATCAGGTCAAAATGGGTTCCTGCCCATAATGCAAAAAAATTTTAAAAAACATAGTAGAAGTTCAAATTAGGCAATGATTAGAAATTAAAACAAATATTCCCCGAATCTGGAAGGAAGCCAAATGAGTATTCCATTGCCACCAGAATCCTGAACAGGATAATTACAGAAAACTCCTTGATGGAAGTAGGTGTTTGTCTTAGTTTGGAAGACAAACATGATGGTTTCAAAAAACTCCCAGAAAAATAGATTGTACATTTTAAAGAGCTTCCTGCTCTTCCAGTATTTACATGCCAGGCTTTTTAAATGTTAAAAAAAGTAAGAAGGTACACTTGGCCATCTCTTCAAGCTTCCACTCAAACCTCTTCTCACCATCCACATTTCAGGGCACTTGAAATCGAATCTTCAATTAAAAAAATCAGACTGGAAATCGGCTTGATTAGAAATCCGTTTTAAGCAAGCTACAAAATTGAATGTGTTTACCCTGGTCTGCCAGTCCCCTAATCAGAGTTGTGCTTGATATAATGTGTTGATTGTGATTGGGATAGAAGTCCAAATCAATGTGAAATGTTTATTAAAGTTGAGCTATTTTAATGGCAGGATACAATTGACAACAGCGTCCTGCTGTAGAATCCCATAGTGAAGGTGTTTCCAGGTGTATTTGGGCCTTCTGTTTCTTTACCAGTCACAGGGGCTAAAATGTTGCAAAGATAATACAGATAGGCATACTGTGGCCAGTGGTGCACAAGACCACACGCCAATCCAAGTTATTCTCCCCCTGCAGGCGATGCCAGTGAGAGTGCTGAGGACATTTTCTTCCGCCGTGCCAAAGAAGGGATGGGGGCTGACGAGGCCCAGTTCAGCGTGGAAATGCCCTTGACGGGCAAGGCTTACCTGTGGGCTGACAAGTACCGTCCCCGCAAACCACGTTTCTTCAACCGGGTGCACACCGGATTTGAGTGGAACAAGTACAACCAGACCCACTACGATTTCGACAACCCCCCACCCAAGATTGTGCAGGGCTACAAGTTTAACATCTTCTACCCGGACTTGATTGACAAACGCTCCACCCCGGAATACTTTCTGGAGGCGTGCCCAGACAACAAGGACTTTGCCACCCTGCGCTTTCACGCTGGACCTCCCTATGAAGACATTGCCTTCAAGATTGTCAACCGAGAGTGGGAATACTCTCACCGGCATGGCTTCCGCTGCCAGTTTGCCAACGGCATCTTCCAGCTCTGGTTCCACTTCAAGCGCTACCGTTACCGGCGCTGAAGAGATGTGGGCTGATTTTCCTAAGTGACAAACATTGTGGACAGGAGGCGCAAGGGACTGGTTTCTTGAAGATGGACCAAAATGAGGGCTTTGAAGAAGGGAACATTGGGGTGGACTGCTTTTCTAAAGTTTTAGGATTACTACTACTAGAAATCATCTTTTTAAAAATGTTTCAGGGCTGCCCTGATCCTCACCAGCCATTCACCTCTGGGGGAATTAAGTTCGTCTCTCTGGCAGTAGATGGTGCTCTTCCCTCTGCTAGACTGTGGCTTCTGAGACTAGTCAGTTTAAAGTGCCTAATTGAGGTGCCTAATATCTTGGCTGGAGATTATCCTTGTTTTCTGAGAATGTGTAGATTAAGGAGGTTGGGGAGAAGGTGTCCAACCCTGATAAAGATTTTGGATATGTACTGCTTGTTTGGTATTCTTTCCCCAGCGTGGGAGAACGTAAAATGGGAAAAGACAGGCTCCCTGTTCTAAAGGGGACTGTAGGAAGATTCAGTTGTGCAAGTAAATCCACAAATCAAAAACAGTCTTCTCCAGCTGTGCAGATTGATCAGCATTGATCAAGAAACTAAGCTGAAGGACGCAGCCACAAGTAGCAGCAGGTGGCTTTAAAAGTGGATGACAGAAATGGTGACAAAAGAAAATAGATCCATCAGTGGTAGAACACCCACATTTGGAGGCACTGTAGCTCAAAAGGCTTTTTGGAGGGGGATGGGGAGTTGAACAATGAGGATGGTGTGCGGGAGGTGGGGATGGTGGCATCTGCAGCAAGCTACAGCCAAAACAATGAATTGCACAAGGTCATCATGCAAATGCCTCCATTACATATTGGCATCCTCACATCTGACGCAAGTACACAATTCATAGCCTTAGTGTGTTGACATCATCAAACATATCATTTGCCCCCTACAGACACCTACGGAGGAGGGGTAGAGCCTTTGCTTGCTGTCTAAGGGTTTCCTGGAAGTATCTTATGCCTTTAATTTCTTTGCCTTAGTAGTTTGGACTCCTTTTCTGCACTCTGTGCAATGTGATGTGTTTGGTTGGTTGGTTGGTTAGCTTTGGCTAATGGTGGCTTGGATTGACTGATAAAGCGGGGTCCTACCCCCCCTACCCCCCGCTCATCTGTAAATGGCTACCCTACAGTCTCCTAGCCAGCATGGCCATTGGGTCATGGCTATGAAGTGTGATAGCTGAGCCCTTAATCCAAAGCACTTATTCTTAGATGACAGTTGCTCTAGAGCAGTGTTTCTTGAATTGTGGTCTTAGGACCCCTGGGGGTCCCCCAAGACCCTCTCAGGAGCCCTCAAAATCAAAATTATTTGCCAGCCTAGGTTGACAAATAATACCATCCTTAAAACCCCATCAAACCATTGTGAGAAGCGGTAGCAACAGTGAATGCATCAGTTTTGATTTTTAATATGATAAATAGAACCCATACAAACAAAAGTCCTCCATGATTTTTAAAAGTGGGAAGGGGTCCTGAAGGAAAAAAGATTAAGAAACACTGCTCTAGAGGCAAACTATTTTCACACACTACAGGGAGCCCTGCCTGTTGCAGCTGGCTGAGGCCGGGCCCCTCCTTTCTACGCTCGAAGAGGGGGGTCAAAACATATCTTTTACTCGGGTCATTTAGAGTCCTGGGTTGTCTGTGCTACTTACTGTGTGGCATATATGGGTGTGCATGGGCATGTAGGGGTGCTCATTCTTGCAAGAAATAGGTCAAGTTATGTGACCCAAGGATTCCAATGTCTTTGTACTGTACATATATAGAGAATATGGAGAGCAAACAGGAAGAAATATGGTTTTGTGGACATTACTTAAACCTGGTGGAAGGAGGGAAGCTTCTGAAGCTCGCAGGACTGGAGAATATGATTGGCTCAAAAAGAAGGTATTCATTTATTTATCAGGTTTTTACTCCACTGCAATCTTGGCAGCTTACAGATACAATAAAATACAGAAAGACTAAATCCCATACAGTGCCAACCGGAGAGGCATCACACCCCAGTGCCCTCCAGAAGGGCTCGGTCTTCAATATCATCTGGAAGATGGCCTAGGTTAGCCATAGGGTCAATGGCACCACTGAGAAACAACATGAGCGTTGGCCCCCCAACCTCTCAAAAATGGGGTACAATCAGCTGCTTCTCTTGGCATGATTATAACAGTTGGGCAGACTTCTGTAGGGAGATGTAGCCCTGAAGGTAGCCTAGCACTAAGCCATAAAGACCTTTAGAGGTTAACACCAAATTTGCACTGGAAGCACCTAAGCAATGAATGCAGAGCTTGCAACACAGGTATCACATGCTCCCAGTGATAACTGCCAGCGACCATCCAGGCCACTGCACTCTCTGCCGGATAGTTTTTAAAGACAGCCCCCATGTAGATGCCTTGCAGTAGTCTAGGCCAGTGTTTCTCAACCTCAGCAACTTTCAGATATCGGGACTTCGACTCCCAGAATTCCCCAGCCAGTTGCACACCCAATTGCTGGCTGGGGAATTTTGGAGCTGACGTTCCCACATCTGAAAGTTGCTGAGGCTGAGAAACTACGGTCTAGACACATGACAATGAGGGCATGAGTCACTGCCACAAGGTCCTCTCATCCCAGGAAACCCCACAACTGATGCACCAGCCAAAGCTGAGCAAAGTCCCCAGCCTTGGCAACTTCTAAGACATGTAGACTTCAACTCCCAGAATTCCACAGCCAGCCATTAAGGTTGAGAAACGCTGCTCTAGAGAGTTCCATAGTTGGTCCTACGCTACCTTCTCAACAACTTCTGCTAAAAAAGGAAGGTTGGAGACCTGGAGGCGGTTGTCTAACACCTCTGGGTTCAGGGAGAGCCTCTTAAATATGAGATGCACCATATCAAGGCTGCTGGGATTTCCCCTCCCACAGAAAGAGGAATGGAGAAAAAGGAAGGAGGAGGTGACGCTATGTGTAAGGAAATGCACAAATGCATTGAGATCCAGGGCCCAGCTGAGAGCATCTAGGCAAAGAATATAAGGAAGGGGAAACAACAAAGACTTTATGGGGTGATGTGTTTAAAACCACCCAGCCAGGCAGAAGGTTTGGTTAATGCCTCCTGGATCAGGTTGCACTCCTAGGCTGCATAAATAGAACTATGATATCAAGAACAAGTGAAGTTGTTCTCTTCACTCCTCTGGATTCAGTCCTGAGCACTGCATTTTAGGAAGAACATTGATAAAGTGTGTTGAGAGGAAAGCAATCAAGATGGTAAGGCAATAATCAGGAGCCTGGAAGGAAATTCCAATGAGCAATGGTTGGAGATAGGAATGTTTAGCCTGGAGAAAAAAAGACCATAGGGAGACATGATGGCAGCGTTGAAGTATCCAAAAGGCTGTTATGTAGAAAATGGGGCAGAATTGTCCAAAGTTGTTCCAAAAAAATAGTGGATATAAATTACATAGAAGTAGATTCCAGTTGGACCTCATAAAAAAGTTCCTAACAGATTATGTGCCATTGAGTCATTTTTGACTCCTAGTGACCACACAGACAGATTTTCTCCATGATAGTCTATCCCTAACCTGGTCTTTCAGGTCTTCCAGTGGTGACACTTATTGCCAACTGTAACTGACTCCATTCCTTACAGAATTGTTCAACAATGGAACAAACTGCCTTGGAAAATGTTTAAGCAGGGATTGGATGGACACCTGTCAGGGATGCTGTACTAGGATTCCTCATTGGGGTAGTGAGTTGGATCCTCTCCCATTCCACTGTGGCAAGGAGTAACATTGAACTTTGTTCCATAAATAGATCTTGTGAGTCCTTACGGACACAACAGACTGGACTGGATCTATTTTTGGTTTCATCTGTATCATGACCAGTTTGCAAAGCATTCAAACTATGCAAAGGATGTTGGAACCAGCAGAACACACTTCCTTAAAGCATTAAAGCAGCCACATCTTCTGGAAAGGTTGGCGCAGTTGTTCCAGAGGCCTTCCCTAGCCCTCTGAGCATAAGTGTGCATGTACAGACAATGCTTCCACCAATACCATCAGCCAACCACAATAGTTATGCCTGCACACACCTTCATAGACAGCCCAGAAAGCTTTCGAAACAACTGCATCAACCCTTCCAGAGGATGTGGCCACTTTAATGCTTTGAGAAGCGGGCATTGATGCAAACATTGCATTGCAGGGCATGCCCTTAATAAATAATACAAACTGTTCCATACAGAACCAAATCTTTGGTTTATGCAGTCTAACATTGTCTCCTTTTCCCTACCAGCATCTCCTGGATCACCAGGATGAGAATTGTTATGACACAGCTGTTTGTGTAAGACATGAACAAAGCAATCGCATTTAGAAGCAATGAACACCAGTTACTTTACCTGAACAGACCTGTTATCTTCAGCTCTACATTTTGCAGGCCATCCTAGCAAAAAGAATGTGTGGAATCAGGTATTTTTACCTTAGCATAAAGGCATTCCACCCACACATTCCATATGCCCTGGTTTGCTTATTATGTTCTGCGCCTCCCTCCACCTGAAGGTGGCAGGGGGGAGAAATGGGAAGATGCTCAAATAGGAAGGCTATGGCATTGTTAAGGGGGAGGTCTGTCCTAAACAGAGTGGTGTAATGGTTAAGACATCAGGCCAGAAACTGGGAGACTGTGAGTTCCAGTCCTGCCTTAGGCACAAAGCCAGCTGGGTGGCCTTGTGCCAGTCACTCTGTCTCAGCCCTAGGAAGGAGGCAAGGGCAAACCACTTCTGAAAAACCTTGCCAAGAAAACTTCAGGGACTTGTCCAAGCAGTCGCCAGGAGTTGGCCTTGTGCCAGTCACTCTGTCTCAGCCCTAGGAAGGAGGCAAGGGCAAACCACTTCTGAAAAACCTTGCCAAGAAAACTTCAGGGACTTGTCCAAGCAGTCGCCAGGAGTCAACACTGACTTGAAGGCATAATAATAATATGTCTCCCCTTTCTCAGCGTTTCTTCTCCTTGAAATGCAATTTAGCTGTCGCCACCCTCTCCAGGGAGATTGAAGGGTTCAGGGTCCTGGGTGAGGCACCAGTTACCCGTGGGACATTTGTGGGCTTCACTTTCCAGAGATACTTAAAT